GGGGGTGTAAATTAGTTCAGCCACCGCGGAACGCAGCATGACAATTCCTCAAAAAGACCTACAGACAGAAACACCATTTAACCTAGCAATCCTATTATTGGGTGTATACCTAAAGGAATATAAATTATTCTGTTATGAAGACCTAAACATATATATGTTCACTGCAGCCACTATTCACAATAGCAAATACGTGGAATCAATCTAAATGCCTATCAGTGATAGATTGGATAAATAAAATGTAGTTCATATACACCACGGAATACTATGCAGCCATAAAAAGAATGAGATCATGTCCTTTGTAAGGACATGGATGGAGCTGGAAGTCATTATCCTTAGGAAACTAACACAAGAACAGGAGACGAAATATTGCATGTTCTCATGTATAAGTAAGAGCTAAACATTAAGTACACACGGACACAAAGAAGGGAACAACAGACACTGGGGCCTTTCAAAGGGAGGAAGGAGTGGATCAGGAAAAATAACTAATGATTACTAGGCTTAATATCTGGGTGATGAAATAAGCTGTGCAGCAAACCCGCATGACACAAGATTACCTGCGTAACAAACCTGCACTCATATCCCTGAACTTACAATGAAAGTTTAAAAACAAAATGAAATAATAATCTTTAACAACACTGTGAGATTTCTGCCACAGCTTTTTATGGCATGAATTTATTTGTGATGACATTATCACAAGTACTGATAATACTGATTCCGTTCATAATTGAAAGAAATGTTACATGTCAATTAGGCATTAGTAAAAAATAAATGTGTAACTTTTTTCACGTAAGTTCCCAGACCTTCTGGATTCTATTCACAGACCTCTTGAAAGCATTTAATATACAGGTGAAGAGCCCAACCTGTGCTCCACTATTTACGTTTTATGTGCTCACATTTATGTTTTACAAATAGTTCTTGCGTTTAGAAATAGTTCTTGCTGTTATATGGAGAATGAAGATGGGAAACCATGAGGAGAAAGGCAGAGAGGCCAATTTGCAGGTCGTTGCAATAGTATTCACACGTAGCACTCTATGTACTACCCTGTAATAGTGTACTGTGAAGGAGTGCTACTATGCAGTAGAGACTTCGTCTAGGGAGATGGAAGCAGAGATGAAGAGACATAAATGAAGTCAATATATATATTGACTATTTAATGGATTGTATGGGGTAGTGGATGAGAAAAAAAAGGGGGAATCAAAATTGTGACTTTATTAACAGCTAGTTATTGATTTGACTACATCCATTTCTCCTCTCTTTCTACTACTCTCCAGTCTTTTCTCTTTGTACCTAAGATTCATCTCCCTTCTTTGATGACAAGAGCTCTACAGTGAGTCACCTCAAGTGCAGTCTAAGGAAGAGTCAAGGGTACTGCAAATGTGAAAGCCATATTCAGATATTGGCATGTATAACACGTTGAAGAATGGCTACTCTGACAGGCTGTATTTATGCAGAAATTTTAACTAGGCTCCATGAGAAAAGCTTTGAGGGCATAGTTCAGGGCTTAAATGATTCCCCCAGAATGTGCCTTCTACTACCAGAAATTCCCTGGTAGAGATTAGATATTTATTCTCCAGCTTTAGGGATTTATTACTTAGATGAAATGTCTTACTTCATGCTTTAATTTTATGCTTTTATTTTTAACAGTTTCCTAAACAGTACATTCTACCATTTAGCAAAATAAACAATTTCTTATGTTTTTATAAATCCGGAAAAATTCTGCCTTGTTTATTAATGTTTTTTTAAAAGTCAATAGATAACTATTAAGACATTTATTTCTCAGTTAATGTATATAAGAACTTAAAGCATTTTCATTGCTATCCTTTGAATGAGTAAAAGATGAGGGACAAAATACTTCAGTTTTCAACCACGTTTATTTTATTTAAAATCATTGTAAAAAAAAGATATTGACCTATTGAAGATAGTGTATTTATTATTTTTTTTTTACATTTTATGCAATCTTGGAATATACTTCAATTCAAAAGAAGAAATGCCGAAGTACAATACTTCCTTGGAAAAACATACAAAGGCCAATGCACACAATCAATAATAATTGATAAAAATCCAGTATTTTAACAATAATTAATACTAGGTAAATTGATACATCCTATTAAAATATGAAATTCTGCCATTTAAGTTCAAATAAGAACACTTATTTCCATTCTAGTACCTACAATTTTATGCATGTTTAACACAATGGCAACAATAACAATAATGTTATGAGTTAGTATTTATTAAAGCATTAATGAATACCAAGCATTGTTAAATACATTACATGTATTTTTGCTTAATTCTCACAACAATACTAATGGTTAAGTATTATTACCACATTTTGTAGGTGAACAAGCTGAGGCTTAAGAAACAGTGAAAAAAACTTGCTCAAGGTTGCAAAATAAGAAAGTTGTAAGACTGAAATTTACACCTACAACAGACTGATCTAACTAATTGCTGGATACATGTCCCTCAAAGACAGAGAAACAGATCTTGCATTTTAGAGGATCTCTGGCACCCAGCAAGGGCCTGAAACAGAGTAGATGTTAAACAAATAATTAGTGAACTTAAGAGTGACATTCAGAAGCAGAGATTTATATTCAAAAACAAAGATAAGAATTTGGGCAGAAAAGTGGGAATGAGACAAAAGTACATTTCCACCTTAACCTTTTTTTTCATTTGCCTAACTGACTCAAGGCAAGAAGGAAGAGTTTTAGTTAAAATGAACTAGTGTTTCAAATTTTAGATGTGATTATATGTCTAGATCCAACACTACATTTCTTCATAAAATATTTGGCTTGGAGGTTGTGTCGAAGCATGTTTTGCAATTATCTTGGACTTCTAAGTGGCAAAACTATTAATGCCATTTCTTTCTTTGCAAGGCAAAGGCTTGTGTTTTTCTCATGCTACTCGCTGTTCAAATCCATGATGACAGATTGCTGCCAGAATTCTTTTTATATACTTTAGTCATTTTAAGCAGGCACTTTTTTTATCAATATCTCAAAATACCATGCAATCTAACCTACTTTTGTCACCCTATTAGTAATAAAAAAAAAACGGAAAATGTTCTATTCATTTTTCTGTCATATGTCTTAACAAGCTGCAATCTTAGAGTCATCCTAAAACTAGAATATCAAAATTTCACATTCTAGTGACTTTTTTTGAAGGAAGTTATTCTTCAAAGGCATACTACTTTAATATAAGATGCATTTTGGTAGAAGTCATAGGGAAATAGAAATAACACTTTTAGAACCCATTCTATATACTTTCCATAAAATTGTCATGACAAATATTTAATCTGCCTTTTACAATCTTTATAGAGATAAAAAAAAAAAAGGGATAGAGTTAAAGTGACCTTTATCTGTAGGTAAAGGGATAACACAACAAGGAAATGACAGAACCAGGATTTAATTCCAGGGTCCATGTTTATCTAGAGAAATGTCTTTGTCCCTTACAAGGATTCAGCCTAAACCAGTTCTATGAATTCTCTGGACCTTCAGTATTTCAGCTGTTAGAAAATTGGACTGGCTGGCTGATTTCCAAAGACTCTCTTGTAATAAAAAATTTTCTTAACATGATCAATAATAAACCAAATTAGGGAGAATCATACTACATATTTCTTAAATTCTTTTTTCTTTCCATAGGTTATATTATATGGAAAATTAGACACAAAGCTTCTTCTAAGACAAATAATATGCTGCAATATTTTATTTTGGAAATGAAAAACTTATCATTAACTAAATAGTTTATCTTTTTCCCAAACATTGAGTCTTGGGAGTAAATGAATTCATCATATCTGTGATTTTCAGCCTGGTTTTGAAAGCCAGTCAGATTCCAGTAGTTTACTATGATTTAAACTTTACAAATTGTCATTTGATTATTCACTATGTTAAATATGAAGTGTGATAGTGACATAAACACCTATTAAGAAACTGTATTGTTAAATTTCAGGTTATTTGAACTGTTCTCTTATTTTCAAAGTTGACACAGAACTCAAACAACTGAACCCCTTTTAACATTACTTAAAAGAATCTCCACAGTATAAATTTCCCCAGTGTTATTTTTTAAAAACCTCTTTTAAAACACTATTTCCAGTGTTATTTTTTTAAACCTGTTTTGTCCTACACTGTTAATTATAGTTCTAACTTAAACTAAATGCCATCAGAGTACCATAAGGCTGTGCAGAATGGGAAAGTTCTGGATTAAAAAACAGAAGAATCATTGGTGGAGAGACTGGACAAGAAAAATGTGGCACATATACAGCATGGAATACTATGCAGCCATAAAAAACAATGCATTCATGTCCTTTGTAGGGATATGGATGAATCTGAAAACCATCATTCTCAGCATACTGACACAAGAACAGAAAATCAAACACCGCATGTTCTCACTCATTGGTGGGTGTTGAACAATGAGAACACATGAACACAGGGAGGGGAGCATCACACACTGGGGTCTATTGGGGATGGCTAGGGGAGGGACTAAGGAGGGTGGGGTGGTTGGGGAGAGACAACATGGGGAGAAATGCCAGATATAGGTGATGGGGATGGAGGCAGCAAACCACCTTGCCATGTATGTACCTATGCAACAACCCTGCATGATCTGCATATGTACCCCAGAACCCAAAGTATAATAACAACAAAAAAAAAAGAAAACAGAAGAATCATATTTTATCTCAGGCTTCTCTAAGTAGTCTTAATCTGAGGTATGTTTGTAGGATTCAGAAGTCTAGGACATCCTGAATTTATGTTCACAATTTTGATGATATGTTCATAGTTCTATGAAAATAACCTTCACATTTTAACAAATCATCAAATGGACCCACAACTCAAAAGGCTTTAAAAACTACACTAACTTTTCAGTAAGATGTCACATATTTCTTATCTCTGACTTCCTTCCATAAATTTAAATGACTAGAAAGGTGGATTCTAAGTTCAATTTTTTATTGCTCTAAGAATGTAACTGTTGATCTTATATCTCACAAAGGAATTCTCTACTCATTGCATGAGGTATCATGGAGCAGTTTTCCCAAGACTGAAATATTGGGTATTTAGTTTCTTCTTCACTGCTGTCTTCACTTCCTGGTTTCTCAAAGTATAGATAAGTGGATTCAGAAAAGGAGTGAAGATCGTATAGAAAACTGAGAGAATTTTGTCCACCAGGAAGTTTGTGAAAGGCCACACATAAATGAAAATACAGGGTCCAAAGAACATTAACACAACAATAAAATGTGCTGTACAGGTAGAAAGAGCCTTGGAGGATCCTGTGGAGGAGGAGTCCCTGACAGTAATAAGAACAATGATATAGGAGGCGAGCAAAAGCAGAAAACTTAAAAGAGCAATCACACCACTGGTTGAGATCATGAAGATTCCAAGAACATAAATATCTATGCAAGCCAGTTGGACAACCAAAGGAAGATCACAGAAAAAACTGTCTATAACATTGGGACCACAAAAGGGCAAGCAGAGTAGAAAAGCTAATTGGCTCATTGTATGCAGAAAGCCCACTGTCCAAGAAAGTACCACAAGCTCAACACACATTCTTTGGCTCATAATTGTTGAATAATGGAGAGGTTTACATATGGCAATATACCTGTCAAAAGATACGGAGATCAGCAGCACAATCTCAGTTCCAGTGAAGAGGTGCAAAAAAAAGATCTGAGAAATGCAGCCATCAAAAGAGATGGTCTTACACTGAGCAAAAAAGTTCATAATCATCTTTGGTGTGGCAAAGGAGGACAGGACATGTCAATGAGAGGTTGCTGAGCAGGAAGTACATGGGAGAGTGGAGGTGTGAGCTGGATAGGACAGTGAGCAAAATAAGGCAGTTGCCCAACATAGTCATTAGATAGAAGATGGAAAACACCACAAAGAAGAGTATCTGGAGTTCAGGAGAATCAGTAAGTCCAAGTAACACGAATTTAGATACCCTGGAATAGTTGAACCCCTCTATTCATCTGCAGACTCTGCTTTATAATCTTAAAAGAAACAAAATTACAGAGTTTGAAAATGTGGTATTTCTACAACCACATATTAACTTGATCATTCGCTAAAAGATTGATTACCTAGAATCCAACTAAAAATCCTCAGGGTAAAGACTTTTTTTGGGAACCACTTAACAATTGCTACCAGATATAATCTGAAAAGTTTAAAATCTTGGTTTTGACCGGCATGGGTGCACATGAGCTACAGTCATCACATTCCTGTACAATTATACACCTATCTGAATACTACCTAAGGAGTTACATCAAACATATTTATTGAAAAAGATTACATTACCTTTGTGTGCTCTACTAAATAAGTCATATAAACAAAACTAAAAATAGAGTAAGTGTTGACATCTCAAAAGTTTCTCTTAGAAACATAAAAATGTGAATATTTTGAATCAATTATCATTAAACACTAGACTTAAGACTTTAATGATTTCAGAAGATCCATTTAATATCTTATGAGGGTGATAAATTATTTAATTTTTAATTTTCTTAATTTCATAAAATAACTGATAACCAAAAGGCATACTTGTAACTTATAAGAGTTATTTTCCACTTTTTGTATTCTATGATTTCACAGAAACATGTTTTTAAAAGAGAATCTCCTTCCTTCAATTATCTTAATTCTACCCAAAGTTATACTTTAAACTAGAAAAACAAACAACAAAAAAAGATACATTAAGAACTTAGAATTCTTTTTCAATATTAATTTTTTTCATTTACAGTGCTTCCCAAGTTCTAGAAATTTTATTTCCTATGGGATATCGGTGTCTTTACCAAATAGCCAAAAGTGTGGTACAAAGCAAATGAAACTCCGTCCTACTAAATGAAAGCTAATTTTGTGACCAGGTAGTGTTTACTTTGCCAGTCACCTAATGAAATTTAAGCCTTTAACCACAGAAACTTTAGCTGGCTAAGTGGAAAGTTGTCCAGGTTACTGGAAAATTTGATGAGATCAAAATTAATTAAGTAAAAAAATATATAATGTCAGATCAGGCATTTATAAAAGTCTATATGCATCTAAATCATTTTTTTAAATTAAATTGCTTTTTGCACATGTAAAACTATATGAAATCCCTTGTTATATTACACATTTGAATATTTCACTTTACACATTTTAACAATTTATCTAGTTTTGGTAATAATTTAATTATAATAGATAATGCCATTTTATCTAATCCTGCGTTATAATGTATCCATCTTTGAAAACGCAATTTTTTACTCCTTCTTCAATATAAGTTTCCAAGGTATACTAAAAATGATTTTGTTATGTCAGTTAAACATGGTAGACTAATATCAACAAATTTTAAAATATCAGTATACTAATATTTAAATTATAGTCAATATTAATATGCTTAGAACAGAACAAAATCATTGTTATAAATTTCAAGAATGAACAAATGGAAAAAGAGTCAATAAATGGGCACAGTGGCTCATACCTGTAATGCCAGCAACTTGGGAGGCTGAGGCAGCCGGATGGCTTGAGCTCAGGAGTTTGAGACCAGCCTGGCCAACATGGTGAAACCCTGCCTCTACTAAAATATAAAACTTTGCCATGCATAGTGGCACACACCTGTAATTCCAGCTTCTTGGGTGGCTGACCCAGGAGAATTCTTTGAACCCGGGAGGTGGAGGCAGAGGCTGCAGTGAGCTGAGATGGTGCCACTGCACTCCAGCTTGGGCACTGAGCTAAGTTCATATTTTTGAAATTGCTTTTTTCTTATGAAAATGGTGTAAGTTCCCTTTACATTAAATGCATTGAAAACCCTCAGCTTCATACATTTGAATATTTCCATTTTACTGACAATAATTAATGGGAACTATTCTTACACCGATTTAAAAATATACATAAATTTATATTTATATTTTTTCTCCTTTTCATCACCAGAAAGAATGCTTTAATCCCTTTTTAATGGAACCATCCATTTGTATATCTTTAAGTCATATATACTTTTTTAGTATTCTCCATTATTTTTGTTTTATATAATTATCACATAAATGCTAAATTTTTTTTGCCACCTAGAGAATGCAAACCACAACTGCTTCTGAAGATTCTTACTATCATATGTAGTTTTTAATCTACCAGTTATTCACCCAGCATCAAAAACACCATTTCCTCTGAGATTCACAAGCCTACAGAAATCACCAAAGTTCTTTAGTAAGCATCAGAAACCTGGAGTATGCATGTATATTTTCTCCTGTCTTTATATAAAACCCCTTAGAAGGCAGTGACATATAGTAGATCAGGGAAGAAACACCACAATCTACTTGCCATGGGAGTTATTAAAATGTTGAGGCAACTTTTCACAGAGTTGCAGCAAGAACTGTGAAGTGTGTCTTTGCTATTTAAAGTGGGAATGCACATCTGTGATGTGACAATGTTCATTCGAGAAAAGCACAACTGGGACTGGCCTAGGAGAAGAAAACATTTAAGCAGTCATTTACAGAGCATATGTGGGAAACAAATTACTCCTTTAGTTACGGAAATATTCCCATATTTATGTGTCCCCCCCAACTAGTGTTCAAAATTCCATAATTTGAAAATTGTTCTTTTAGGCTAAGGCAATTTGTCTCCAGCAAATATTTGCTTACTGGAAGTTGTATTTTAAAGAAAGGATCAGCCGGGCGTGGTGGCTCACGCCTGTAATCCCAGCACTTTGGGAGGCCGAGGTGGGCCGATCACTTAGGTCAGGAGTTGGAGACAAGCTTGACCAACATGGAGAAACCCTGTCTATACTAAAAACACAAAAGTTAGCTGGGAGTGGTGGTAGTTGCCTGTAATTCCAACTGCTCAGGAGGATGAGGCAGGAGAATTGCTTGAACCTGGGAGGCGGAGGTTGAAGTGGGCCAAGATCGTGCCATTGTTCTCCAGCCTGGGTGACAGAGTGAGACTCTGTCTCAAAAAAAAAAAAAGGAAGGAGCATGCATTACAGTTTCTGACAATACATTAAAAAATTAGCACAAACTAATACTGATAGGATAGGTGAATCTTAGAAAGGGGGATGTTGGAAAGTCCAACATAACCAGGAGAAGTGAAGAGAGGTACTATGGATCACCTTAGAGGAATAGTGTAAAAATTAAATTATGCAGATTAATTTTTTAAACATTCAGTTCAATGCCTACTACACAAAGTACTAAATAAAACATAGAAATAATAGCAGACATGATTATAATTATCATAGTTTTTGAAGTGTTCATAACAGATAATCCAGGAAGATAGTAGATCGATCAATCATCTGTGGCTTGCTCTCTAAGCACAACTTTTTTTCCAGATACCTCAGAGACTGAACTCTTCACAACTGTCATATCCACCCTTCATTCTCCACAGGTCTGACAATAGAGCCTAAGAAAATTTTCCCTAGTTGACCACATTTCTAGCACCCTTTGAAATTAAGAAGCAAGTTTAAAGATGTTTTTTCTTCTACAAAGGAAAAGAAAATGACTTTTTAAAAAATTAACAAAATTGGTACAAAGATTTAATAGTTTTCTAGTTGTCCCTTGGTATCCACAGAAGATTGGTTCCAGGACCCCCGCTAATACCAAAATCCATGGATGCTCAACTTCCTGAGTTAAAATGGCTTGATATTTATATATAACCTAAACACAGCCTCTCATACCCTTTAAATCTCTAGATTACTTATGATGCCTAATACAATATAAATGCTATGTAACTAGTTATTATACTGTACTGCTTTCTAAATTTGTTCTATTTTTATTGGTATTTTTAGTATTTTGGGTCCACTGTTGGTTGAATCCAAGAATATGGAACCCACAGAAAGAGAGGGACAGCTATAAATATAAAATATATGCCCTAGTATAAAACAAAAAAATAAGGGTACATAATCATTATTAGAGTAATCCTGGAAAACTGGTTAAATCCTGAAAAATAGGTATAATTATTATTAGAGTAATACTGGAAAAGTCAAGAGAATAAACAGAAAAATAAGAGAAATAAAAAATAATTCAGAAAGAGAGAGCATGAAGAAGATTTTTGTATTAGTAACCTGTTCTACATCTTGGTTATGGTGCTGATTACACCATCTATACATGTGCTAAAATTAATAGATTTTATACCAAAACAAAAAGTCCCTTTTACTTGAAGATAATTTATAAAGCAGAATTTTAAAAAATAAACCCAGATAATTCAGTACAAGGGCAAATTTTGAAATCAGCAAATAAATTCAATAACCTTCTTATAAATTATTCAACATTAAATGTATTTAATTTAAATATATATTTAATGTTAAATAAGTATATTTAATATTATGTTAAATATGTAATATGTTAAAATGTAACCAAAAATAACATATTCAGATAAACAACAGGATATATGAAGTAAATAGGAATAATCTTTTTTTTTTTTTTTTTTTGAGACGGAGTTTCGCTCTCGTTACCCAGGCTGGAGTGCAATGGCGGGATCTCGGCTCACCGCAACCTCCGCCTCCTGGGCTCAGGCAATTCTCCTGCCTCAGCCTCCTGAGTAGCTGGGATTACAGGCACGCACCACCATGCCCAGCTAGTTTTTTGTATTTTTAGTAGAGACGGGGTTTCACTCTGTTGACCAGGATGGTCTTGATCTCTCGACCTCGTGATCCACCCGCCTCGGCCTCCCAAAGTGCTGGGATTACAGGCTGAGCCACCGCGCCCGGCAGGAATAATCTTAAACAGAAATGTGTTTATATGTGACAAAAGCTATACTATTCTAAAAGAGAAAAAATTGGCAAATAAATTGAAATACTTATTGTGGTATCAGAAAAAAATGCAATATTGTTCAACACATACATTTTTCCTTCTATAAAACAGAATTCAATAAACCATGAGATACTTTTGAATTCACAAAATAATTTTCAAAATTTCTGTGAAAACAAATCAGATTAAAGTAGTCAAGAATTAGAAATATTATTTCACTTTGTTTCTGTGCTTTATGTTTTAGTTTTTAGCTAACCTAAACAATTTTTGATTCATACAAATTTATGGAATACGTGTGAAATTTTATTACATGTATCTAATGCATAGTGATTAAGTCAGGGTATTTAGGGTGTTTGTCACTCCAGTATAATACTTTTTAAAGTAGAGTTATCCTACTCTGCTATCAAACATTGAATTTATTCCTCCTATTTTACCCTTTAATGCACTTCTCTTTATTCTTTTCCATGCCCTTCCCACTCAGGCTTCCCAGTCTCTGTCATCTATTTTTCCACTCTCTACCTCCACATGATCAAAATTTTTAAATTCCTACATGTAAGTGAGAACATGAGATATTTGTCGTTTTGTGCCTAATTTCACTTAAGATAATCATCTCCAATTTCATCCATGTTGCTGCAAATGATATTATTTTATTCTTTTTTATGGTTGAATAATATTCCATTGTGTATATACACCACATTTTTTGTTGGTTTATTTTTTTTGTTTCATTTTTCATGATTTGTATTGGAGGTTATTATAATGAAATATTCCGTGTTTTGTATGTGACTGGCATGATAACAGATCATGCTTCGAAATTGTTTCCAAACTTCATCACCTTTTCCAAGCACTACTTGGGACCTGGGTACCCCAAACACTGTGGGTATACTCGTACATCCTGTCACTTCCCCTGCCCACCAGCACATCCCTGGCTGCTGAGTTCTCCACTTTGCTGTCCTCACTGGTCAACAGCTCTGCATGCAGTTTGAGCAACTTTGCAAAATTCCTCACCAACTTCACACACCCTGAGTCTTTTTACCATCAGCTTCATAAGCCCAAACCCTCACTTAGGTTGGTTTCATATCTTTACATTGTGAATAGCACTGCAATAAACAAGCCAGTGTAGATATCCCTTTGATATATTGATTTTTTTCCCTTTGAGTAGATACCCAGTAGTAAAATTACCTGATCCAACAGTAATTCTACTTTTAGTTTTGTGAGAAATCTCCATAATATTTTCCGTAGTCACTGTACTCATTTACATTCCCACCAACAGAGAGTTCTCTTTTCACATCTCTTATATTTTGTTTTTTGGGTTTTTTTTTTTTAAGCAATAGTGATTTTGACTAGGGGAAAATAATAACTCATTGTGGTTTTGATTTGCATTTCTCTAATGATTAGTGATGTTGAACATTTTTCCATAGCTCTTTTGGCTTTTTGTATGTCTTCTTTCAAGAAATGTCTGTTTCTGTTCCTATTTGACTACTTTCCAGTGGTATTTTTTTTCCTGTTGCTTAAGTTTTTTTTGTTTGTTTGTTTGTTTGTTTGTTTGTTTGTTTGTTTGTTGTTTTTTTTTTTTTTTTTACATATTCTAGGTATCAGCCCGCTATTAATGAATAGTTTGCAAATATTTTCTTCCATTCAGGAAGCTGTCTCTTCACTCTGCTGATTGTTTCTTCCATTGTTCAGAAGCTTTCTAGTTTAATTAAGTCCCATTTGTCTATTTTTATTTACGTTCCGTGTGCTTTCGAGTTGTTAGTCATAGATTCTTTGCCTAGACCAAAGTCCAGGAGAATTTTCCCTAGGTTTTCTTCAAGTATTTTTATAGTTCCAGGTCTTATGTTTAAATCTTTCATTCATTTTGAGTTGATTCTTATATATAGTGAGATAGTGGTCCAGTTTCATTCTTCTGGATGTGGCTATCTAATTTTCCCAGCACCATTTATTGAAGAGTGTGTCTTTTCTCCAGTGTAAGTTCTTGTCAGCTTTGCTGAAGATCAAATATGCAAAAAAGTATAAAACCATGATATCTAAGTAATATCAGAAAGGCATAGAAAACAACTGAAAATATAAGGGACTTGAGAACAAGTTATATGTAAAAAGTTACAATATTATAATATGAATGTGTTGCCTGAATTGTCAAAAGAGACTTTGTAGATGGAATTAAGGTTGCTAATCAGCTTGCCTTAAAATAGAAAGATTATTCAGTATTAGCAGAGTGAGCTCAATAAAATCACAGAGGTCATTAAAAATAGAAGAGAGATTTTATAGATACCAACAAATTAACTCAAAAGTTTCTATGGAAAGGCACAGACTTAAAATAGTCAACACAATACTGAAGAAAAAGAACAAATTTGGAGGATTCACACTGCCTGACATCAAGAATTACTACAAAATTATTCTAATTAAGACAGTATGGGCCAGGCATGGTGCCTCATGCCTGTAATCCCAGAACTTTGGGAGGCCGAGGCAGGAGGATCACTTGATCCCAGGAGTTTGAGACCAGCCTAGGAAACACTGCAGGACAACCATCTCTACAAAAAAATCAAAAATTATCCTAGCATGGTGCTGCACACTTGTAGTACTGACTACTTAGGAGCTGAAGCAGGAGGATCACTTGAGACAAGGAGGTTGAGATTGCAGTAAGCCATGATCACACCACTCCACCCTGCCAAGGAGACAGAGAGACACTGCCTCAAGAAAAATAAAATAAAAAATAAAAAATAAACAGCAAAATATTGGTGAAAGAATAGACATGTAGATTAGTGGAACAGAAAACAAAGCCTGAAAATAGATCCACAGAAATAGAGCCAATTATTTTCAACAAAGGAGCAAGAGTAATTTTTTTTTTTTTTTTAGACGGAGTTTCGCTCTTGTTACGCAGGCTGGAGTGCAATGGCGCGATCTCGGCTCACCACAACCTCCGCCTCCTGGGTTCAGGCAATTCTCCTGCCTCAGCCTCCTGAGTAGCTGGGATTACAGGCACGTGCCACCATGCCCAGCTAATTTTTTGTATTTTTAGTAGAGACGGGGTTTTACCATGTTGACCAGGATGGTCTCGATCTCTTGACCTCGTGATCCACCCGCCTCGGCCTCCCAAAGTGCTGGGATTACAGGTGTGAGCCACCGCGCCCGGCCCGAGCAAGAGCAATTTAATGGAGAAAAGATAGTTTTGGAACAAATGAATCACAGCCCTATTCTCTTCCATTGTTATATGTGTCTGTTTTGGTTACTGTACCATGCTGTTTTTCTTACTGTAGCCCTGTAATAATGTTTGAAGTTGGGTAACATGTTTTCTCCAGCTTTGTTCGTTTGCTTTGGATTGTCTTTGCAGTTTGGACTCTTTGTTGGTTCCATATGAATTTTAAAATAGTTTTTCCTAGTTCTGTAAAAAACGTCATTGATAGTTTTACAGGTATAGCACTGAATCTATAAATTGCTTTGGACAGCATGGTTATTTTACTAATATTGATTCTTTCTATCCATGGAACCTCAGTTTTATAAAATAGTTTCAGTAGGAATGGCATCAGCTCTTGTTTGTACATCTGGTAGAACTTAGCTGTAAATCTGTCTGGCTCAATTTTAGGTTGGTAGACTATTTATTGCTGATTCAACTTCAGAGTTCATTATTGGTCTGTTCAGAGGTTCAATTTCCTATTTCAGTCTTGGGAGGGTGTCTATTTCCAGGAATTTATCCATTTCTTCTATATTTTCTTGTTTGTGTGCAAAGAAGTGTTCAAAATATTCTCCAATAGTTATCTGTGTTCTGTGGGGTCAGTGATAATATCCACTTTGTCACTTCTAATTGTTTTTATTTGGATCTTCTCTCTTCTCTTTTTCATTATTCTAGCTAGCGATCTATCTATTTTACTGATTTTTTTTAAGCAATCAATTCCTGGATTGGTTGATGTCTGGAATGTTCTTTTTGTGTCTCAGTCTCCTTTAGTTCAGCTCTGATTTTGGTTAGTTTTTGTCCTCTGCTAGCTTTCAGGTTGGTTTGCCCTTGGTTCTTTAATTCTTTTTTTTTAATTGTACTTTAGGTTCTGCAGTACACGAGCAGATCTTGCAGGATTGTTGCATAGCTACATGCATGGCAAGGTGGTTTGCTGCCTCCATCCCCCCATCACCTAAAATGGTTTGCTGCATTTCACCCCGTGTTATCCCTCCCCAACCACCCCACCCCCTGCTGTCCCTCCCCCAGCTCCCACAACAGACCCTAGGGTGTGATGCTCCCCTCTCTGTGTCCATGTGTTCACATTGTTCAACATTCACTTATGAGTGAGAACATGCAGTGTTTGGTTTTGTGTTCTTGTGTCAGTTTGCTGAGAATGATGGTTTCCAGCTTCATCCATGTCCATACAAAGGACAAGTACTCCCTTTTTACAGCATTCCATGGTGTATATGTGCCACATTTTCCCTGTCCAGTCTATCATTGGTGGTCATTTGGGTGCTTCCAGTTCTTTGCTATTGTAAACAGTGCTGCAATGAACATACATGTGCACGTATCTTTACAATAGAATGATTTACAATCCTTTGGGTATATACCCAGTAATGGGATTGCTGGGTCAAATGGAATTTCTATTTCTAGATTCTTGAGGAATGGCCACACTGTCTTGCATGATGGTTGAACTAATGTACACTTCCACCAACAGTGTAAAAGTGTTCCTACTTCTCCACATCCTCTCCAGCATCTGTTGTCTCCAGATATTTTAATGAACACCATTCTAACTGGCATGAGATGGTATCTCAATGCAGTTTTGATTTGCATTTCTCTAATGACCAGTGATGATGAACATTTTTTCATATGTTTGTTGGCCTCATGTATGTCTTCTTTCATAAAGTATCTGTTCATATCCTTTTCTCACTTTTGAATGGGCTTATTTGTTTTTTTCTTGTAAATCTGTTTTAGTTCTTTGTAAATTCTGGATATCAGCCTTTTTTCAGATGGTTAAACAGCAAAAATTTTTTCCCATTCTGTTGGTTGCCGATTCACTCTAATGACTGTTTCTTTTGCTGTGCAGAATCTGTGGAGTTTGATTAGGTCCCATTTGTCTATTTTGGCTTTTGTTGCCAATGCTTTTGGTGTTTTGGTCATGAAGTCCTTGCCTACGCCTATGTCCTAAATGGTTTTGCCTAGATTTTCTTCTAGGGTTTTTATGGTGTTAGGTCTTAAGTTTAAGTCTTTAATCCATCAGGATGATCTTTCTGTGAGGTGTCTTACAGGGGTTCTCTGTATTTTCTGAATTTGAATGTTAGCCTGTCTAGCTAGGTTGAGGAAGTTCTCAAGAATGATATCCTGAAATATGTTTTCCAAATCGCTGCCATTCTCCTCATCTCTTTCAGGGACAACAGTGAATCATAGATTTGTTCTCTTTATACAATCCCATATTTCTCAGAGGTTTTGTTTGTTCCTTTTCATTCTTTTTTTCTCTATTCTTGTCTGCCTATCTCGTTTCAGAAAGCCAGTCTTTGAGCACTGATACCATTGTTTTCTACTTGGTCTATTCTGCTGTTAATAGTTGTGATTGCATAATGATATTTTCATAATGTGTGTTTCAGTTCTATCAAGTCAGTTATGTTCTTATGTATACTGTCTATTTTGTCTGTCAGCTCCTGCACTATTTTATTGTGATTCTTAGCTTCCTTGAATTGGGTTTCAACATACTTCTGCATCTTGATACTCTTCATTTCTATCCATACTCTAAATTCTATTTGTGTCATTTCAGCCATTCCAGCTGAGTTAAAAACTTTTGGTAAAGAGCTGGTAGAGTCATTTGGAGGAAAGAAGGCATGCTGGCTTTTTGACTTGTCAGAGTTCTTACACTGGTTTTTCTCATTGTTATGGGCTGGTATTTTTTCAATCTTTCAAGTTCCTGTGCTTTGGATTTTTTTTCTTT